CAAACGCGCAAGGCGCTATGAGAGGTTGTTTCCTAGCCGCCTTTCTCGCCCTGTGTCACATTTTGAAGACAGCAACCGTTTAGGCCGCATGTTGGCTAGAGCATATGCTGTAGGTGCTCTGTTTACTGATGCTGGAGCAGCATAGTGGTCTGCTTGATGTCTTGGGGGCGGTGGGTGTGGATGTGAGGGGCACTCATGCTGCTGGAGGGGAGAACCCAACTCGGTTTTACATCACTAACACCGGAAGGCTTGCTCATGGAAGTCCGTGCTGGATTAATTGAGACTGATGGTCTGCCTCACACACATCTGTTTGTGCTACAGTATCGGGCATGGCCCGAGGTCGCGTTAGATATAGCGTTGAGCAAGGTCCTGCTCAAGTGTTACTGCAGGCAAGACTTGCATCCGACCTGCTGCGAGAGGGCCGGGGACCCCCGTACACTCTTAAAGCAAGGCTAAGAGAAGACAAACTGACCGTGATTGTGATATTCTAGAGAGATGCAGTTCTACTCGCCCAATGGTACTTTTCAATACCCCCATCTTCCACATCTCAGAGGAGAGTTGTCACCACTCACGTCACACCTGAGAGCATTCTCGCGGTCACATAAGCTACCGAAAGGCCGGTGAGCAGTTGTCGGCAACTCCACGCCAATAGATCTAGATCGAACATGATTCTCACAATTGCGCTTGCGCCTTTTGGTCGGGCGGGCAGAACTTGTGCTGTCGCTTCCTAGCTGCTCCCGGGCACCTGGATCGACATCGACGCCACGCACATGCTGAAAAGGATGAGATGCAGCCGGGCATGTGTCTCTGCTGCTGGGCGGCGTGCATGATGTGCAATTCGGCTGCCGACTGGACGCCTGCTCGCGTTTGTCTTGGTCTCAGGGAGACCGGCATGAATGCGGAGAAGGTAGATTGATAGCTGATCGTGTGGTGCACCAATGTCAGAAAAGTCGCGGTTGGTGCTCGCCTTCGCAGCGACAGAACAGCCGGACTACGAGACCAAGAGCTGCTTGAAACCCTCTCCGTGCCACAACACCAACCGCTGGATGGAATGTTTGTCAAGAAACGAACCTGCTGTGTGGCGACACCCACGCTTTCCACGAGAGTGAGAGACAATCAGTGCTGTCATGAATATAGTAGAGAGCGTTGTATGGAGCCCGCCACCAAAGCGGCTCCCTCCGAGTGAGATGAATCATGGGCGAAAGAGTCCTTCCCGTCTCACTCCGCGCGCCGTGGTAGTTGTTCTGGGATGAGAATGGGACGTGCCGTCTCACGCCGCTGCGAAGATGGATCACATGAGAGGACTGGTAGGAAGGTCATGCAGCAGCACCAGCAGATAAAAATAACCGCGAGCCCCCAAATACGGGATTTCGTCTTGATCCACGATCATTGTTGGTTCGAGCAGGATCACGATAATCTAAAGCAGCCTAGCGAACCTGCCGTCACCTCACCTTTTCTACATCGCCTGTCTGGTATAGGACGTGCTTACATGGAAGAAAGCGCTTTCTTCCTACCTACCTGCCCACCTACATCTACTCGCACCAACCTTGCCTACCTAGTCTCTACCTTACCTCACTGCCTTAGCTCCTGCCGTCGCTGCCCCTTCCGTACAGGTGCAGATGTAGTGCAGGTGCGTTCATGCTGCGAACGTCATCGCCATACATACGCGATGAACCAGACCAGATAGAGAATCAGCGTGTCTAAGCAAGGTACTGTCCACCGATAGGTCCCTGCTTTTCTACGTGACTCGAAGTACCCCGGCCCTTCCTAAAGTGGAGGGCATCAGACAAGGTACCTAGGTATCCCAGCGAGGGTTCTTGGGAAGGCGCGACCAGGACAAGCCCAGGAGCCAGTGCATTCACAGCCCGATGCTTTCCTATCTTGCATCTGCAGCATATCTGCGTGAATTATACCTTCCCTACCTCTCTTGCCTTGCATTTTCAGAGAGAGGTATTGCCCTCCATTACCCCGGACTGGATGCATGTCTATCAGGGACAACGAACGGGGCTACTTAGTATTGACAATAACTGGCCGATCAGGTCTCTGCCCCTGCTCCGATATCAAGATTCAGATACAGTTGCAGTCCTCTTCCGCCCATACCTACCCGTAGGTACCTTATCCAGTTGCAGTTGCGCCCGGAGGGGAAATCCCGGCTAACACGATTCAATGATTATCCATGCAGTCGGCATTAGAAAGCCTAAACTTACCTACAGCACTCAGGTACGTCAAATCAACGGGAAAGTCGGCTCACCGACGTGTCGGTGCCGGAAGGAACGGTCTCACAGCCAGGAGCCTGGAAAAGGGGTGTTTTAAGCGTATTCTACGCCGCGCTGACTGGTAATCGTCATATCTAGGTAGGTAGATAATTCACCTATTGGCCGGGGGGCAACGACACCACAACACCACTCCTCACCCTGGTATCCGCGCGAGCTGCTGGTGGGACGTACCTTATACTTGCAGGTACCGAGACTTGACTTACTTCGCTTCCTATTTGGTTACGGTCCTGTCATCTCCTCAGTGCCATATCAGACCTAAGGTGGTCTTAGAGCCACCAAGGAAGGCCACCATCACGAGCATCTCAGCTCAGCTCTCAGCTCAGCACCACCGGCACTTTGGCAGGTTTCTACCAAGAATCGGAACCGCCTCTCACCACTCTACAACTACCGCTACAAGCCCTGAGTCCTTACACCACCACCATATCGATACAACTCTAGGAAGATCGCAAGGGTCACTCGGCCATCGACACACTCAGTCGGATGAGTAGTTTCGGCATTGTTGTCTCTGAATCGCGACCCCGAAGCTCCATTCAAAGCTCGCCTTTGCTCTCTGCCTTACTAGGAGGGCGTACACGAGCCTCGAGCCTCAGGGCGACCTCTTCCAAAGTCACCACCACTCGTCAGGCTGCTAGTAGTCACGCTCAGCGACCCCGCCACCTTGTGATGCAGACGTGAGGCAGTCCTAGCTTGTACCAAGAGGCAGTGACGACGCGTTCACCGACATCGATGTTCCTCTGATCAACATAGCCCATATAACCGTAGCCTTTCCCCTCGTCGTGTAACCGACTCCCGAGCGTATCAAGACAAGTTGGAGTTTCTCGTCCATTCTCTGCCACATCTACCTACTTACCGATTCGCCTGTTCCGCTTGCAAATGGGTTTTTCTCTTTGATCTATACCGGAAGACAAACGGGCCAAGCTGCAGCTTCCAAGTTCCCATTCCGCTCTCTCTTCAACTCATCCCGGCACGACACCACCTGTACCTGGTCACCCACGAGACAGTTGCCGTCCGAGACCCCCACGCTGCAACACCTCCTTCGAGGCCCTTCGCCCGCCTTCTGACCCCCTAATAAATGCAACAAGCCAATATTGCTGACGACGGATTTGCGACATTGAGGACCAGACTTCAAAGTAGAACAGAAAGGCGTCTTGCAACTACCTACCTAGGACCTAGGTAGCCCCTGCCACACACTTGTTCTACGTCCTACTTGTCTGAGAAGTCCACTAAAGGGTCCACCGACTCGCCCCGCCACGGCTCTGCCACGATAGGACTTCGCGCAGTGCACTGGCTTACTGGGTACTGGAGTCTACAGTACTGCACCCCGCGCTAGTGCTCGCCTACACTCACACCCGGTTTGGCCTCGTCGACATTAACGTTATTCAGTGGCCTGAGTGCCTCATCCGTCCGTGATCCCGTCGCTACCCACTTGACTTCGACCCCTCGATTTGCTTTGCATTGAAAGGTGGAATTCCTGTCTGCATGTAAAGTCCACTTGCACTTTACCCAGGTACCTAGTAGCTAGCTAGCTCTAGTCTGTCTCCCTTGTCTTCGCTCACCTGGTCCAACCGATCTACAGGGGTCCCCTCCTGGCCCGGTGTGGTGTCCGCCGGACTTACACAGCTTGTGGTGAACAACCAACAACGACGACCGCCACCAGCAGCCTTGACCACATTGAGGCCATCTCGCTGGGGAAAGAATAGAAAAAGACCTGCGTCGGACGCTTTGCACGACGGTAGACGCCGCACTCACGTCCAGTCTCTCACTCCGTTGAAGTCCTCAGTCCGGGTCCGGGTCACTTGCATTAACTGACTGACTGGACCGTGACGGCTGCATTGCGTTCCCTGTCATATCAGGACTGGGCTGGCATCGATCCTCTTAGCTCTTCCCCGCTGATAACAAGACAGCATTACTCGCTTTCTGCTCTTTGTAGCCATACAGCGGTTAGTCGAGGAGTCAGAATCCAGAACCGCGGTCCGGCAACGGGTCTTGCCTCACCTCAGCATCAACAGGCTCACGCGTGCCCGTCTGCTCCATTGATGCAATTCGGCTGTTGAAGTACTTGAGCTCGCCTTCCCCCCCCCCTCCGACCGGATCCTATAGGTCTGCCCAGCGTGCCAGGGTACAAGCTACCTAGTGCGATTCACCGGCAGCAAATTGCGCCGTTCTCTTCCTACATCTACCTGACGCCTCTAACGTTATCGCCTATACATTAGTCCTCTGATACTTACTTACCCTGCCTTGCCCACCTCTTCTCCTCACATTTGGTCTCTGGCGGTCAATTGCTAGCTTGAGGCAGTCAAAAGACTCCGAAATCTCTGCTCCCTTGCTAAGCTACACACGACCCGTCGTGGTCCCTCCGAAAACCGTCTTGTTCTGACTCGGGGCTATTTAGCCACCTGTGTGCCCACGGGCGGCCCCTCACTCCAATGCTCAGCGCAGCGCCAGCCCCTCCGCATCATTTATTACCCTCCGACAGCGCCGTTGCCGCCGCGCACAAGCTGAAAAGAATGCCCGCCTCCAATTTGTCCGAGTATCGCCATATTCGATCCGGCAGCCTCAGCATCACGCCGGGCAATGGTCATCAGAACGGCTCAATGGCTCCCGCATCTGCTGCTCAAAGGTTCGACGGGCCCCGAAGCCCTCCGAGTAGGTCCCTTCCCTCCTGTTCTGCGCTCCATCCATCCCTTTCAGCTCTGCTTGGCTCTCCCTTTCCCCGCTATCGCCATGCGACAGCCAGCCCCATGTCCGAGTCCGAGTTCGAGTTCACGCACGCGACTGGACTCCATTGAGTCGCGGTGTGGAGGGATGCGCATGCGTTTCATACCAGAAGGCGATGAAAACGGCTCTAATATTGGATTCTCACAGATACATCCCACGTGCCTTGCAAGTTCTTCCGTCAAGGTGCTTGCCAGGCTGGCAATGCCTGCCCATTTAGTCACGATCTCGGATCGGCGGCAGAGAACGTCTGCAAATACTTTGCCAAGGTACGATAAGCGTAGTGTCTATTTGCGGAGCTCTTTCCTGGGTTCCTCAATCGACAGTTGTACAATCATTGAGAAGGTGATACTGACACGCGGTGACACACGTCAGGGCAACTGCAAATTCGGTCCCAAATGTGCCAACATCCATGTTCTCCCCGATGGGCGCCGAATCAACTACGGAAAGAACGGCGTCACAATTGGCACCGCACCGATCAGCCTAGGCAGCCGGATCAACCCGACGACATATCACCAGTCTTCGAACAGTGCCCTGACAAATTCTTTTATGCGAGCCGAGGGAGTTCCCTCACCATATGCCCTACCCTCTGACGAGAGATATGGTCACCAGCTGGGCCGTCAGCCAAGCCTAGAGAATGGACTGCCCACGATAGACACGACATACAGCCACCCGGGCTCCGCGTACGGATCGCCGCGTGATGAAGAGACGAATCGATTTGGACTTGGCCTGTCACCTGTGAACACCAAGGGGCTGTCCGTTCTAGATGCCCCGCTCCCCGCATCCTTTGACTCGAATGGTATCTCACATGCGGCCCGGTACGGTCCATGGCCGTCGTCAGTACCGTCTAAATTTGGTCTCGAGTCTCCTTCTCCAAGCTTGAACAACGCGAAAGAATCGCGGACATCGGAGACTCTGAAGCTCCTTCACACCTCTGCCTTTGGTAGCAGCGACCATCTTTCTTCTGGCAACATCAACGATGTCATGATCGGGAGCAGCCCCCCTACCCACAATATAGCCGACGAGTATTTCGGCAAACGGGCTATGCACTCCAGTCGCTATGCCAAACCTCGACTATTGAGTTCAAGCGCGCCAAAGGTGGATCGAGACTGGGAGGACAACTTTTTGTTCTTTGAGGAGGATTATGTGCCGGGTGCATTAGCAAATGAGGTTCTCACACCCGCAGAGAAGGCGCGGCGAGGGTCATTACGCGCGAGTGATGTGAATGAACTCACCGGTGAGAATTCGACTACGAAGTACGGAAGCCCAATCAACACCGCGAGTCCAAGCCGATGGGGCCCGCTTTTCCAGCGTCAGAAGGACGAAGAGTTGGAGCCTGGGAGCGGCAGTCTCGGAAAGAGTCTGAAGGGTGCATCGGCATTTGGACACGTGGGCAGTCCCTTGCGAAACTCGAGCCTCGCAAGCGGTATCGAGGTGAATGGCGCTCATGGACGGCCAGCGATAGGCAGCCGATCAACCTCAAACGCGGAGTCAATGTCTGTTCTCACTCAGCAAATTCAACGGACAAGGTTGGGTGACGATGGAAGTAACTCCAGCCCCCACCTACATCCGAACGCGGCACGGTCTACCAGCGGATCTGGCTCAAGCGTAGGGATCATCGGCAAGGAGCGCGATCGTGAACGTGGCCTTGAGAGACATGTAAGCAGCGGCTCAATCGGCTCTTCGGTGACTGGCAGATTTACCACACCAATCGACGAGGAAGACCCGGCTTTCGTATTCAGCATGGAGGAAGAGGATGAAGCAACACAACTGCGAACAAGGAAGCGGATATCCGGAGGCCATGTGGGTGTTGGTGTTCCTCCAGGTTGGAGTTACGCCGGCGTTGCTGCCAGCAAACCGAACGGTACCGGAAGCAAGGTATCGTCCAACTCTGTCGAGCCCGTCAGCGGACGTTAAGTGGTTGATTAGTGACATGCTCTACTCGAAGTAGTTGAGTGCTGGATACTACCTCCAGAAACCTCCTCTCTCATACTTACTGAAGAGAACCGTGAGAGGAGCCTGGCCGTTTGATGATGATCTGTCTCATCGTGACGACATATGACATTACGAGAATATGAGATTTCGATTCAGTCGGATTTTCTCAGCATGCACGCTGAGAAGCCGTCAAGTATCTACACCAAGCTTTCTGAATTATTTGATGGCTTGCATACTTCGTGAATTTCTGTCGAGGGAGAAAGAACGGAACAACAGCGGAAGAATGTCTGGACACAACAAGATAGACGCTGGAATAGGCATTTCAGTGCGCATTCGGAGGACTCGCAAACATCGGTTCAGTTTGTCTTGAAAATTTATACAGTGGGTGAGGTGGATCGCATTACTTGAGATGTCCTCGGTCTACAAGATCTGGACCTTGTCAGCAATTTCAAGAACGAGAAACAGGGAAAACAAGGCACAGGGGCTCTAAAACCTTGGGAAACTGATTACTCGGGTTGGGAAAAGGATGAACACGAAGAAACTCCGCTCTGAATGTTTTATGTGGAATTCGATGTGAAGGAGAATGCCTTGCTTGGGGATGGCACGCCATGGTTATCTTGACACATACTGCAGACTCTATCCATCAGTCAGTGGCAGATGGATTCCTTGAGGATATATATGCGGAAGCAAGTCATGGGGGTGCTATCCTTTGGCGCCGCGCAGAAGGGGATGAAGAGCATCTGCATAAAGCTATACTGAGCGTTTCGGCTAGTTTATAGACTACTACATCTTGCAGACATGAGCTTTGCTTTGGTTGTATTTACTGGCAATATCCACGGCGTCTTCAGTTGCGAGAAATGAAGCACTAATTTACGTCCTCTTTGTCTGCATGCCCGGGCTTGGTCTCCTACTGTGGACTCAGCTGATCTGAAGAGTCTCCAGCTTTGGCATGTGATACTTGACTTGACTTATTCCTATTTGTGAAGGCTGAGCAGACTCAAGACGACTTAGAATGTCCAGCTTCAAGTCTAGGTGGCATAAAACGCTAGAATTGTATTCTCTAGAGCGTGTCCTCTAGGACAAGCCGGGGTGTGCTTGTTTCAAGTCGTCCTCGCTCTCTAGAAATCATGCAACCCAAGAGGTTTGTTGAAGCGGCTCTTTCACACACAGGAACGATAGGTATAACAGTTCAAAGAACACACAAGCACAAGACATGAGGGGGACGGAATTCTATACACTAGTACAACTCTCGCCTCCACGGCAACAACTCACAACACAAACAGCATCGAGGCGGCCGAAGAGCAAGATCTTTCAAGAGTAGTTGTTCCAGCATCCACGCCGCACGCGATTCACCTCCACTGGTGGTCTTCTCTCATTTCTTTGCTGTATATGGGTACGTAATCTAACACACAAGGCGCCGGCCCCCTAGGCTCTCTGAGAGAAACGCAGCCACGCCTCCTCCTTCTCCACAACCTATCCCCTAATCAAATGTGACAGACACCCAGGCGAGGAGTGGCGTAGACAGCATTGGGCTTTAAATTCATATGGTACAGGGCGATGTAGAGGAGAGGAGATTAGTGGGCGTCGGGCTGGTTTAGGATGTACTCGACTGCTTTGTCAACTAAGGAGAGGGGAATCAGTATGCACTCGGGTGGGAGAGCTCGGGGATAGCAAGTAGACATACCGCTGTGGATGGCATCCGCGTCCTTGTCGGGGATCTCGATGCTGAACTCCTGTACACATGACCTGATTAGTATCCGTGCGTTTCTGACAGACGAGAGGCGAGAGTCCTGCCAGCTGGAGAAGTGCCAGGGAATGATCGTACCTCCTCGATGGCCATCACAACCTCCACGGTGTCCAAGCTGTCCAGGCCAAGGTCGTTTGCGAAGTGTGCCGTCGACTTAATCTATACAATCTGTCAATAATTGTGCTTCATATTCGAATCGCATATTGATATTGAAGACGTACGTTGCTCGGGTCGTTGACCTGTTGAGAATCAAGTTAGCAAGCCCATTCGGATATAAGCATGGCAAATGGACGCATTGTTCTCGGATCGTTCAACCGCAATGCAAATGGTCTTCCAAGAAGCCGTGCTCGGCGCAACAGCAAGCCCAAACTCCACGAGACTGCACGGCTATCGCAAAACCGAAGAGGCAAAACGCACCTTGTCGAAACCAGCCAGCAGGCCCATGATGCGGCCCTCAACCTCCTCCTTCTTCAGGCCACCAGCGGCAGCATAACACCGGACGGCGTTCCAGGCGGCGACCCGCGGCGCGAATGTGGCAGGAGCAACAGCGGCTCTGGCGGGGATGGCTAATCTCGAGGCCCTTGACACGGTCCGGACGGCAGGCCGGGCAACGGCCGGCATTCTGAGGAGGGCGGTGCGGAACATTATTGCGGTTTGTGGATTATGAAGGGCGGAAAGGACAAGAGATCTCAATCAGACGGAGGCAATTGAGATGGACGGGTGTGGCGTGGAATCGGGGGTCGGGCGGTCTGCACGGGGGATAAACAGAAAACGGTCGTCTGGGGACAGGATGCGGTTGAGCTCGGAGTGATGATAAATTTCTCGCGGGATATTGGAGGAGCTCGGCCCAAGCTCCCTGGTCAGCAACCATGTCACGTGATACACCTCGAGATGACCAGTAACCGCCATATTTGCAGCTTGACAGCATGAGATGCGTAGAATTGTTCGGATTTTGATGTGTTACAAATGGAAAACTCATGATAGTTATATATAAGTTACACATGCTATCTACATGTTGGCTCGTTTTACTTTAACACCACACCCCGCGCATATGCCTCGATAATTCTATCGGTAGGGAGCATCGGCACGAATAACAGCCGCCAGCTCAGGCTCCCACTTATCACCGTTTGCGAGCAGTTTCTCTGCAGACTTGTTAGCAATTGGGGATCAAATTTGATGAGGTGAGAGTAATATGTGAAATTGAAATGTGGCAAGGAAGTAGTTTTAGCTTTGCCGGGCGAAGGGAAGACTCGATGTTCAGACATACCCTTGTTGTAGAGAAGCTCTTCTCTAGTCTCCGTAGCATATTCAGCATTTGGTGACTCGACAATAGCATCGACGGGGCAAGACTCCTGGCAGAAACCGCAGTAGATGCACTTGGTCATGTCTATATCGTAGCGTGTTGTCCGTCGAGAGCCGTCCGCTCGCTCCTCGGCCTCGATAGTGATAGCTTGAGCAGGGCAGATCTGTTATCCGTCAGTAAAATATTCATCCGCCTTCAAAACGTGGCCCGCATGGGAACATACAGCTTCACATAGCTTGCAAGCAATGCATCGCTCTTCACCGGAGGGATATCTTCGAAGTGCGTGCTCGCCTCGGAACCGCGGGGAGATGGGACCCTTCTCAAAGGGGTAGTAGATGGTGTAACTGCACATAGACGCCATCAGTAATAATTCATTGGCATAGATCAAATGGTTAAATGTTGTCCCAGATAGTCCCGCATCGTGCTTCGTGATCATCACGAAGTGGCGACACCCTAGCTTGCAGGCTGGGAACACACAACCTAAACCGTCTGAAGAATATCGGTGGCACTCACGGTGGTCTAAAAAATTGCTCCAGCAGCACGTACATGCCGCGCGCCATCTCGGTGAGGAGGAAGTATTTGCCAATCCTGTTGAGCGTGCCCTCCTTCTCCTGGTCCCATTCGGTGGGCGGTTGCAGTCTGAAACCCTTCGGCGGTGGTCCGGAAGGCGTCGCGTACGTCCTTCTTTGCGCGACGAGCGCTTGTGAGGCCGCAGCGGCTTGGAGTAGCTGTGTTCTTGCGGTGGCAGCCCGGGTGAGCTGTTTTGTGGACAGCATCGTGGCGGCTCGCGCTGCGGGAGCTACCATGGTTGTGTGTGCGCGTGTCCTCTTGAGGGGATGTGGACGGTCGGGGAGGGTCAATTGGCGGGCTCTCGGGGGCTTCGACGCTGTCAAAGACGAGGATTGAGGAGCGGAGAGATGTGTGGCCGGGATGGGAGGCGTCGCTGTGACGGGAGCTTGACGTCCTTGATTGACGTCTTGCTCGGGAATTTGAGGATCTTTGCTAGGTATTACAAAAAGCCGTATCTCATTGGCTGGAAGCTCCCCGACCCGCCAGCATGACAGATCACGTGATCGTCACTGGTTACCATTCCCCGAAAGCCATCACTCCTTGCTTTGAATCTCATTTGTGACCTCTAATTTAGCTTATCTGCATGTGATTATTGTGAGGCTCAGGTCTTCACTTGGACTCTTCAGAATTTCCGTGTGATGTGGGCTCTGAAACTGGGTTGATTGTGAGGCGCTGGGCCGTGTTTATTCAACTTCTTATTTAGGGGTATTCATATGCTCATAAGCTCATTACAGCGGGAAACTCTTCTCCCACGCTCCCCACCACACTCCAACGTTCGCAGCAATTACTAGGTCTAGCATCTTCATACCCTCGTCGTACACAATAAGCTTTCCTAGCTTTGCGCGCTTGCCTCTATTACCTCCACCAGCTTTCTCCCTCCCCAGTCCGCCAAAGTCAAAGATATTCTCGTCGTCTTCGTCTCTTTCGCCATCGCTTTCGTCATGGTGAATCTTCAGTAGCTTATTAAACTGGCCGTGCAGCTCCCTTGCCGCCCGCTCTCTGTCTTCCTTAGACTTGAATAGATCCGTGCTCGGTAGATTGAACCGTAGCTCACTGACGGGATAGGCGCCTGTGATTCCCGAGGATACTGATCCGTGCCGACCACCGACATTGCCATCTCGGATGCCCTGTGCTAGCACCAAGGGATTAAAGCCACCGCCGCTCGTGTTGAGCACGTGCCGACACTTCAAGCTTCGCCCTCCGTTGCCGGTCCGGAACTCGCATCGTCCATCCCACGGACTTGTGAAGACATAGCCCTTTGGTCTGAGACCGGGGCCCGGGCTCGTGACCAATGGCGGCGACTCTCGTCCCTCTTCTCCGTCCACGGAGCCGGTTGACTCCATTGTAGCGGCTGAGTTCGTGCTGTCTTGTCGTAGATGCCTATTGGTAGGACCTCTGGTAGGCGATGTCCAGGTCTGAGGCTCGTCGAGGCTGCCGGTCGTCCCAGATCGCTCTCGCCGACGAAACGCCTCTTTTATGTTCGATGTCCACGTCTTCGAGTATGCCATGATGACCCGTCTCGAGAATCCCTCTTCCGTTTCTGTACTTGCTTTGCCCAACAAACGCCCAATGTCCTCCTTATTCATCTGGCCTAGTTCGCCTAGTGATCGGGGCAGGCTGGAAGAGGAGGCAGGGCGTTGCTGGTCAATGCTGGGTCGGCCGGCAGAGAAGCCGCGAAATTTGGCGTAGCCGGATGTTTTGAGATGTATGTTGATATTGGGGTGCCCACGGGTATGATGAATAGGTGCTGGGTGATCATAGCCGGTGCTTTCGTCGGGTAGTTCATTGGATTGGAACGAAGAGACCTTGCCGATGTTCCACTGGTGGCCAGAGATCGGGTCTCGACGGATAATCGTCAGTGCAAACGGCGTGAACTCATCCCGACGTCGCTTGGTAGGAGACGGTGAGCGGCTCAGCACGCCAGGAGTAGCAGAGAGGGGGGCCAGCTCGTCGGTAATAATTCGCTGGCTCGTAGGCTGCCATGCCTGCTGGGGCGGCAATGGGGGTGCAGCTTTACTGAAATCTGGTGGGAGCGGCAATTCTTTGTCCGGCGTCGTCGGCATGCCCATTGGCCGGGGTCCTAGCGGTTTTCTCGGGATTGGCAGAGATACAGTCTGCGGCGTCCGAGAAATCGGTGCCGGCACCGCAAGCCGGCCCCTGGGGGTATTCGCACTATCATCTTGATAGATGGGAACGTTTTCTTTTGCGTCAGGTCTCCTCAGTGGAGGGTACTTGGCGGATTCCAACACCCCTAAAGCCCCTTCTGATACATGGCTCTCAAGCTTGGGTACTTTGGAGTTTGCTGGTAGGGGTTTCCTTTGGATGACTGGACTGTGATTACTCCGCGAGCTCTCGCCGCTGGATCTAGGGTCACCGGCGTCCCTAATAGGCTGCGGGGCCGCTAGGCGGTCGTCGGAGGGCGTATCCAAGTGGACGTAATACAGCGAATTTGCGACATCGTCGCCCGTGACATTCTTCCTCTGGGGCTTGAACGTGGACAAGATGACGTCTGCATATGATGTCAGCGCTAGGGAAGCTCGGAGGACAGCGGTGTATTATGCGGGGGATTATACCTCGAGTGCCGGGGACTCTGGAGATGTAAAGAGTAAGCGGATCGTGCTTCTCTTCAGCTGGGTTGACGGGGTACTGCGGTGGGTTGGCAGCGAGGAAGTTGAGGGAGGAGAGCGACTTTGCTTCGACATGCGGGGCCGTCATTATGGCAGAACTGACAGGCCCGCCCACGTGAGACCTTCTTGGAGGGAAATTCGAGAATTCTGGGGCTCAATGACCTCACTCAACCCCCCTTCGAGAGCGATCCAAGGGGGGATGCAGAGAATGATATGGCCAGCAGCAGTGAGCCTCAGGGCCAGGCAGACGCAATGGTACTGGCGCCGGCAGTTGGCGTGGGAGTGCCGAGTTTGCCCCCGGACACGCGGCACACTCTGTTGAAGACGGCGACGATGCCCAAAAAGGAGCTGGAAAACAGCTAGAACAACGGTCTTGGAATGACTCGGGAAAGGGCAGAAGCTAGCTGGAGATATGTCTCTCTTGAGTCTCTACTGTAGCTCTGAGCCTCTCTCTAGACGCGACTGACGTACGCCGTAGAGCGGACTGTGATTATGTGGTCACCGTGTCCAGCTGTCCAGCACGGCAAATGAGAGTCGTCAGCTGGCGGGGGCTGTGTTTGCTGCTCCGTAGTTATTTTTGACATCGCGAGCGCCGCAGAGTCCGTGTCCGACTTATTCCCAGCGATCAGCTTCAGTGAATGCCTATGGCCGTCAAGATCAAGATGCAACTGGCAAGTTCAAGTTCAAACGAGCGGAAATCACAGCAGGCGTGATGTTCATGTCCGGAAACCAGATCGGGGTTTTGCATGCATCTCGTTCACGATGCAGAAAGAAGATAGAGAGTTGCCAATGGCCCCCAAATGGCCTTTGCTTGCGTTTGCAGGCTAGAGTTTGCTGACTTGGCTCCCGCTACAGTGGATCTCCCGCCTGTCTAACCCCACCTATCGCTGCTCATGACCGCACCAGCCATTATTAACATGATCAGTGAGCGAAAGTCCGGCTGGAGGCATCCAATAACGGAACATCCATCACGAAGCAGGCAAACAACATGAAACCCACCTGCAACAACCACCAATCGAGATCATACGGACGAACCATCACCAGGCTGCCTGGTTTCTTCGACTAGATTGGGTACGGTTCCCAGAACTATCGATTTTCTTGTCGCATCCCTACAGTAGCTGCCTAGGAACTCGGATGAGCGAGATTATGGTAGAAACACAAGTCGGCCGCTTTGGTCTGTTTCATTTCACAATGCGGCGTCCCTTCGGTCAGCATGCTGTGGAAGGATGCTCTGTGCGAAGTTCCCCGCCTGATAGGATATTTCAAATCATCTATGGTAATCGCTTTGTATCACTCTACGTCACTGTCAGATCCTAGTATGACACTTTGGACGAATAGCCGCGGTGGTATCAAATTGTCTGTCACACGGCTAACTCTGTCCTGATATTGACATTCCCGACCTGAGCCCATGTCGAAGAGCGCCTCACGCTGCTTCCCCGAGAGCCTCTCGTCGCGAGACGGAGTTGGGATCGTAGTACGGCTTCTCTCCCAATGACACCACCCGGTTGCCCTGGCGCTTACCAACGTAGTCACTACATAACAGTCAGTTACTGAATCCCAAAGGTATGTCTTGGAGAAACTCACTTGGTGGCCGTGTGGAAGACAGAACGACTGCAATTCAGGTCAGCTTATCGAATCAAGTGGATTCGAGGTGCTTCGTGGTCTTACTTGTCCCAGATCGCGAGATCATTCTTGTTCCAACGGAAGCGAACCTGCAAATCGTGGTTGCCGGTGATGAGTTCCAGGACTAGCATTTAGAGTCAGCAGAGATGTCTCAATACCAGGTATTCAACCAGCCAAACACGTACAGTATGCCTTGAGGATCTCGCTTTCCCTCTCTGTAACTCCGTCGATCCAGCCGTGCGCAATTTGATGAGCAGCCCCAAAGAGAGACTTCCAGCCCGTGACGGGATTGGTTCGAACGACAGGACTAAGACACAGTCATCAGAAATGGGTCAAACCTCTCTCCGTCTCATATACTCACTGCGAGGCTTTAAAGTCCAGTCCCTTGTTTTCAGGGGCACCACGGTAGTCATCAATGAGTTCTTCACCGAAATCATTCTGTACTTTGACAAAGTTAGGCTGATGATGAGTGGCCGTCAACGACTCCGCCAACTTCTGGATCGGGGGAGAAAGGCGGTCATAGGCCTCATAGCCAGATGCCCAGAGTGTGTCACCACCAGCGTCGGCGGGAGGCTGGAGGATCTTCAGAATGGCATAGTCGGATGGGATGTTCTCAAAGGTGATGCTACGAGGAACTTAGCTATATGTTGAGGGTGTATCTGGGCTGACTCACTCTGCATGCCAGCCGTGGCTCGCAATCTTCTTGGACGACCAGCTGAACCTGTCGTTGTAAAACTTGCGGTTCTGCTCAGACGAGATGACAGAGATCTCATCGTCGAGCTTGCCATTTTCGTCGACAGCAATGCCTCGCTTGCTGTTAGACAAGGCATGACGGTGAAGCTTAGACGTCTCTGGCTTTCCAGTGAGCTCGCCGAGTCTCTGGCCCAGCAGCTTCTGGTCATCAACACTAATGTCCTGATTCCGGAAGAAAATCACGCCCCTCTGGGAGACTAGCAGGTAGTTAGTAATTTGGCTATGGTATCTCGATCATTTTGTCCGCTTCTTACCGAGAATGGCAAGATCTCTGATCTTGGTATCATCATGGAGAATCTCGCTGAGCTGCAGCTTTGGGAACTCGCGCCCGATCACATTGGTAACATCAAATTGCTCCTCGGCGTCCAGACTGCCGCCATATTTGAGCGGCCCTGTAAGCCGAGAGCTGCTGCTGCTCTTGACTGCGTTGAGCGTCGCCTTGACAGGAACGTTGAGCACGTCTGAGGGGCTTTGAATATCAACATCAGCTGCTGGAGGAGCCATATTTTTGGTTGAATCTTTAATAAGTTCAGTGACTTGAGGATTTCTGTGTGAACTCAATATCGACAGACACCTGTACACTGGATCTCAAGAGAGGAGTTGTTCTTATATGTATTTTCCAAGCAACCCCGCGATGGCAAGCCACTCACTAGCCCATGACACCATCTCCATCATTCAAAGTCGTACATGCAACCCCTATAAGCCTCCTCAATGAGGTGCTCACCTCCGCACTTCACGTCACGTCTCCGAGATCCGGATCACAGAGAGTTTGATATGGCGTATAGATGGCCAAGATGGCCAAGATAGTACCTGAATAGGTCTGGCACAGACTATCTTGGGACTGGCGGATAACGGCATCCATCAAAGCCAGACCCCGACTGCCGCAACGATACGCTTCATCACTCTGATTGACTCTGAGCCACGGCCTTAGTATGCAGCTAGAATAAGCACAGTCGCAATTGGCCTGTGAAGTCGCGTCGTGCGGTGTAGCTTCGCCAGTCGCGTCACCCAATTATTGCGCCATCTTGCACCACATCGCGATGTGTGGGAGTAAGCGAGCTTGACACGATAACATGTGTATTGCCACAACGCCGTAAGACGTTGCTCAATCACTATTGATACTCGCGCAAGACGCGCCTGTCGTTCTTTGTGACTAATGTCAGTCGACTGAAGAGTGCAATATATGGCCCTCGCGTATTAAGAGCAAATTTGGCGTACCACGAGTCACTGGACCGGGTCGTCAGCAATCCATAATACGACCAAAGAGTGAGTTGCTAGAGAAATCTTGAAGAGTTGGTACGCATTTCTGTCTAGCAATACGAAATGTATTTCAGCGTCAATTTTCTGCTTGCTTAGGCTGGCAATGGATAGATTATCTTTCTGCGCATCTAGATATAGTGTCCAATACATGACACTCCCTTTCTTAACACAGTTTGACCTACTGCGTCATCGTCTCCATTGAATTTCTGTCATCAATCATTATTTCAAGTGAACGAGCTATACATGCGGCATATGGTTACGCTGCATCAGGTTTGATAGTTGTCAGTTCTGTATTTCATAGTGCTGTTGACAAATGAGGTGCCTCAACTTGTCTTATATTTTATTCATCATGATTTTCTCATAGTGTTATGTTTCCTTCTTCTAGAGATATTATACTGTCAAATTAGTTACTGCCACAGACACGATTTAGCAGAAGATATAACATTTCAATTTTATCACCGCTGGAGTTGAACAGGGCAGCTCAAAAACATGACTAGATAAGTCTTTTGATGTACTTAAGTTGTCACCGGCGGATGGTTGCAAATAGCCAAAATAAATGTTGTGCACGTTCATCACTATACCTCTAACAGCGTTTCAATTAAAGTTTGAAATTGACCTGGATCATCGATTTGGTTGCCATCGTTCGCGGGTCAGTAGAGTGCCGCCATAATCGGGTCGACTCCGAAGGCTACGGGTGTGGGGCCCCGGCACTGCTGGCCGGCGCTATAAAGGGCACGGACTCGCGACGCGGCCGCTCACAGAGTCCTCAGATCTCGGCAAACGAGAACTCTGAACGCGTCCCGAACGATCACCGTTTCTCTTGACCGAGATCAATCTCAGATGACAAGGTAGCCAGGATTTGAAAGTCGGCAAGAATGCGGGGTCTGCTAGCTACACCCACGCTGCGGAGGGTCTTCAATGCGGGATCTCTTCGGCAGCAATTGCGGCGACAGCCGGGGAGGAGAGTCTCGAACTCGGGGAAAGGGTCACAACCAAGTCGCTCAATAGCTCCTATTACGTGGGTAGCGGCGATTGCAGCTTTTGGAATCGGAGTTCTCGCTGGACCATCATTGATCTCGTCAAGCTCAACGAAGAGATTACGTCCGGTTCAGTATGCTGATAAAGAAGGCATGCATACGGTTCGTTAATGGAAACCCATCAACAAATGAGAACAACAAGCTCACTATCACAAATTCTAGGCAGCTCGCGAGATTGCCTCTGCTCTCGGTGAAGATGTGGTGAGTTTTGACGACGATGATATTGAGAGCCACAGTTTCTCAGATTGGTCGACTTCCAATTCCAAAGGGCGAGCCGTAGCAGTCGTGTATCCCAAAACAACCGAGGATGTCTCGAAAGTCGCGGCAATTTGCAACAAGCACACTGTCCCCATAGGTCTGTCACCTCTAGGCTTACCTACAACTGCTCTCTGACGAATATCAGTTCCTTTTGGTGCCGGTTCTTCTGTGGAGGGCAACTTTTCATCGCCATACAGCGGGATTGTTATTGACTTTGCTCATATGGACAGAATCATAGCATTTCACCCAGATGATATGGATGTAGTTGTTCAGCCAGGAGTCAACTGGCTTGACCTTAATAAGGTGACACAGGAAGAGGGCTTGTTTCTCCCTCTGGATCCTTCTCCGACGGCAAAGATAGGCGGTATGGTCTCGACTAACTGCAGTGGGACGAATGCATATCGATACGGGACTATGAAAGACTGGGTCATCAACGTAACCGCAGTGCTCGCAGATGGGCAGGTAATCAAAACTCGACGACGGCCTCGAAAGACATCAGCAGGCTACAATCTCACTTCCCTTTTCGTAGGCGCAGAAGGGACTTTGGGCATTATCACGGAGATCACTCTGAAACTTGCCGTCGTGCCCAAAGAGACTGGTGTAGCTGTGGTGTCCTTTCCAACAATTTCCGATGCAGCATCTGCTGCCACCAAGGTAATCCGGTCAGGCATTCAGGTAGCTGCGATGGAGTTCATGGATGATATCCAGATGCAAATGGTCAATAGGCATGGGAGCGAAGCAGTGAGAAAAACAAAGTGGGATGAGACGCCAACGTTATTTCTGAAGTTCTCAGGTCCCACCAAAGCTGGAATCCAGAGCGATATTTCGCGCGTGAAAGAGTTGATGGATGCCTATAAACCAACGAAGTACTTCTTCGCAAAAGACAAGCATGAGCAAGATGCTCTTTGGGCAGCACGGAAGGAAGCATTGTGGACGATGACCTCGATCAAACCACCTGGACATGCAATCTGGTCTACAGATGTGGCAGTTCCCATCTCTCGATTAGTTGAGATGATTGAATTGTCTAAGAGAGACGCAGAGAAGCTGGGTTTCTTTGCTAGCATTATTGGACATGTTGGAGACGGTAACTTCCACGAGGCATTGATGTATGATCCAAAGAACCCCAGCCACAAGGGCGGGGTTAAAGAAGCCGTTTACCGAATGATGGATCGTGCGTTGGAGATGGAGGGCACAGTGTCTGGTGAACACGCGATTGGAATGGGTAAGCTGGTAAGTCTGCTCAGCGTAGTATCTTCTCGAGAGCGTTTTCAGCAAGCTGATTGTAGCAGGAATGCCTCGTGGACGAGCTTGGTGGTGATACCATAGGTGTCATGAAATTGCTAAAGCAAGCTGTTGATCCAAAGTAAGATTCGATTTTCTCATATAAATGGTGTACTAATCCAGTGTAGATGGCTGCTCAACCCCGGCAAGGTGTTCGACCTCCCTGAAGGATCGAAAGCGGTGGCAGCAGAACGAGTTGGCGGCTCATGATTGCCTATCTGTGAACTGAGAAGCTCTCACATATCATGTATACCAAAGTTATGAAGTTTCATAGACCAAGAATAGATCATTAAATTGTTTGACATGACTAATTCGGAAAAGGCGATTCAATGAGAGCAGGCGCTACACACGTAAATAGCTCGGTCATCGGCGACCATGTCAATAGGTGGAGCAGAGGCCGCCGAGTACATTCTTCTGATCGATGGTTAAGATGCAGGTTGGAAATCAAGCAGGCACCGTTACCCTGCGCTCGGCTAATCCAAGAGACACTCGCAGAATTGACTTCAACTGGTTCAAGCAAAATGGGGAGCGAGACATACAAGCGCTTTCAGAGAGTGCCGAGTTCGCGCTTCGATCATTCAATGCTACTGGCGACCCATATACCCCCTTTACGGTCATTGAACCGACTCCAGGTAACGACGTCAAACAAGCAATCATAGATAATGCCTTTTGCCACCATGTCACTTCAACTTGTCGGGCTTAAAAGACAACACGGATTACTGGGTTGACTCCAAGTTCCGTGTCAATGGGGTGTAGGGTTTACGTGTAGTCGATGCTTCAGTCTTCCCGCGCACTCCAGGAGCCTTCCCGGTTGGACCAGTGTTTGTCATTAGCCGGAAGGCTTATTATGATATTCTATCGGATGTCGAGTATTATTTACAAGCTGAATAGGGAGCACCGTCAGACGAGAAGCTCCAGAGCAGCAGTCGAAAGCTGACGAAAGTCAATAAAGCTTGAGCCTCGTTTCTAGACTACCTATGCTTTTGGACATAAATTCTATTTGTCAAGGCCTTTCATAGCGGTCCTAATAGAAGCCAATCTATTTCAGTCTTTCAACCTCCAAACTCGCCAAGACAAATGCCGCTTCTCCTAAGAGGCTGTTGGGCACCAGTGGCCTTGTAGTGTAGTATTCATATGTCGCCGTTGAATTGAGACTGCAAACAGATACAGTGCCGTTGTATCCCAGGGTGCCATTGCCTGCATCGACCACGAAGTACTCCTTAGTGTATTTGTAAGCCTTCAGCGCGACATCTGTGAAGCCCAAGTCATCAATGACCCCAAGCCGTAGACCCTTCAGTAACGAGAACGTGAATAATGCGGTGGATGAACTCTCCAAGTAATTGCCTTCTCGGCCGGGGAATGTAGGCAGTTGCCACCATGCACCAGTGGCTGGATCGGCATATGTGACCAAAGCTGCTGTAAGTTCTTGCAATTGAGTTTTGATCGTTGCCAGAAGACTTGCAGATGTAGCACCAGAACATTTTCCTGGCTTCTCAAGCGCTTCCCATGTATTGACGAGCCCAGCAAGGTACCACCCCAAAGACCGTCCCCAAACGTATGGACTAGCGCCTGTTGTTGGATTTGCCCATACAGCTGTTTTAGAGGCGTCATAGCCATGTAGCACCAAGCCCGTGCTGTTATCATAGCAGTGCGAATACAGCAGATCAA